CAGGGACAACGTCCTGGGCTGGGAACAGCTCCTGGTGGAGCTGCAGGGACAACGTCCTGGGCTGGGAACAGCTCCTGGTGGAGCTGCAGGGACAATGTCCTGGGCTGGGAACAGCTCCTGGTGGAGCTGCAGGGACAATGTCCTGGGCTGGGAACAGCTCCTGGTGGAGCTGCAGGAACAATGTCCTGGGCTGGGAACAGCTCCTGGTGGAGCTGCAGGGACAATGTCCTGGGCTGGGAACAGCTCCTGGTGGAGCTGCAGAGACATTGGCACATCCCAATGACATGGGAACAGCTCCTGATGGAGCTGCAGGGATGATTCCCTGGGCTGGCACATCCCAATGACATGGGAACAGCTCCTAATGGAGCTGCAGAGACATTGGCACATTCCAACGACATGGGAACAGCTCCTGATGGAGCTGCTGTGAGCCAAGGAACACAGGACAGCCAAGAAACATGGGACCTCTTTCCCGCTGTGGGAGCTCTCCCAGCTGCTCAGATCCCACCCCTCTCTCCCAGAGTTGGGATGTCTCCCTTGCTGGGCCGATGTCCCCCCGGTCAGGGGCCGTGGTCCCCAGGCCATGTCCGTGTCCGTGCAGCTCCCGCAGCCTCTCCTCTCCCGTTTGCTTCCAGGATGGATGTTGTGCCGTGCTGAGCTCAGCCGGGTTAGTTAGTGCTGCCTGTGCTCACATGTCCAGGCTGCAGAGCAGTAGGAGAGGCAGGAAATCCCGTTGGGATCCCGCAGCTCCTCGCAGGGGTAAGGAACCCTCCGTGCTGGGAGGAGACCCCGAGTTGCAGGCAGGAGTCCTGGCCCTCCGGCAGTGCCTCAAGACGTTCTCCACCTCTTTTCCCCCATCCTGTCCCCAGCCAGTGCTTTTCCCCGTGGGAGGCCTGACTGCTCTGTGTTTTTCCCAGATCCTGGATGATGGTGGGGACCTGACCCACTGGGTTTATAAGAAATATCCCAGCGTGTTCAAGAAGATCCGAGGGATCGTGGAGGAGAGCGTGACTGGCGTGCACAGGTGGGGAATTTGGGAATGCTGATCCTTAGGGACATCCCTCAGGGATTGCTGCCGCCTGCCCTGACCTGCCTGTGCCCTCTGCCAGGCTGTACCAGCTCTCCAAGGCTGGGAAGTTGTGTGTCCCAGCCATGAACGTGAACGACTCCGTCACCAAGCAGAAGTTCGACAACCTGTACTGCTGCCGGGAATCCATCCTGGATGGGTGAGTCCTGCTGCCCCTCCTGGCACTTCCCACGGGTGGGTTTGGCTCTGGCTCCTCCTGAGCGGGGCTCAGACTCTGCTGTGCCCTGCAGGGCCTGGTTCTGGGGGGTGGCTCCTCCCAACACGGGTCTCTCTCTGTCCCCCAGCCTGAAGAGGACCACGGATGTGATGTTTGGAGGGAAGCAGGTGGTGGTTTGTGGTTATGGGGAGGTGAGTTCCGTGAGCTGTGCTGGCCTCCCCTGAGCCCAGCACCCGCCACTTCCCTCTGCCAAGAGCCCTTGTCCCTGCCAGAAGGAGCGGATCCGACCTGGGGAGTGATTACCAGGGAAATCTCACAGAGATCAGGGCTCAGGTTTCCCAGTTTGCTGCAGATTAGCTGGGCTGCACAGCTGACACTGCTGGGAACACTGGGCTGAGCCACAGCTCCCCACGGGGCTCCATCTGCTGTCCCTGGCCCCAGTTCAGCTCCAGCCTGGCTCTCACCAAGCAGGGACAGGCTGCAGCTTCCTGGGAGTAATGTTCTGGCAGAGGGGGATCATCTCACAGGCTTGTCACTGATTCTGCCCTGGAACTGCAGGGAGCTGCCACCTTCCCTCCATCTGTGCATGTCTGTGTGGGTGTTTGTCCTCCCACACTGAGCGGGGCCTGGCAGGAGCTGCAAAGGCTCTTCCCAGCAGGAATTCGCTCCCTGATTTATTCAGGCACCAGTGGAGCCCAGCTCTGCCCCACCAAGGCTCTCATCCAGGGCTCTGGGCCGGCCTCTGGGAGTTGTGCTGGGAGTCGTTGTCTCCAGGGCCTGTCCTGAGTTTTACTGGACTTCTTCAAAGCAGG